CCACTGGGGCTTTAACAAGGAAAATTTCCTTGGGGACATTTCTGGAGGAAAGCATCATGTCTCCAACAGATGTTATAACTCCAATTCTCACACTGAAAATGTTTCAGACAGTATATGGCTCTTGGGAGATTTCAGTGCAGAACATGGGAAATGACTGTGAATGTAAAGATGCAGTGAGAAGACTCAAGAAGAGAAAGGTCATTTGCAGTGGACTGAGACCTATTTGCATCGAACAGACCTATCAGTCAAACACGATGTTAGCAAGATACATAACGTCAGATGAACTACACTGCCACTCTTCTTTGTCCAGTGGATAGTTCTGGGTCTGTGTCTCACTTTGAAAGGTTTCAAGATATCCCTCAAGGGAGCCAAGACCCACCCTTTCACATAATCATCTTCCCTCTCAAAAGCTTTCCCAATGAGAAGCTTCAAAGACTAAATGGCATTAATTTGAACAAACAGTAACAGTGGCCTGAGAGTTTCAGCAGCTCTTCAGCACCCATAATAACTGCTGAAGACAATGGGAGTTGCAGATGATGAACAAAACTTGTTTAAATGGTCTAACAGTATTACTCTTCTACAGTGGTTTAGCCCCAGACCCACAAACACTTCTTCCCCACTGTGTTTTGAAGGCCACAGATTTAAGATACATCTTGCATGCAAGCCTCCAGGTCACCCAATAGCTATGGTTTATTAGTACAGTTGCATTGACATGGGGCATTTTAAGGGCAAAGTCCTACACTAGCATCTGCAATGCAGATCTCGTCGTTTCTCTGCATCAGCTTCACCCTCTGAGGATTTTTGCTGCATGTTTTGCTCTTGCTATCCACACCAAATTCCCTTTGGCACAGCAGAAGTTCTAAGTGCAGGCTAAAGGAATCTTCACAGAGATCCAAAAGGAATACTTTGCCTAAAATTCCCAGTGTCACAACTACTTCATTTTACCTGCTTTATGTTTTCAATTGCAGCAGGAGCACAGGACACAGATGCCATATAACTCGCACCCCTCTACACGTTTTCCTCTAGTGTGTTCTCTTTTTTTCTTCATTTTTTAACCAAGAAAATCACAAACATGATCTCATGCTCAGAAACTTGAAAACTTTAAAAACCCTGTTCTCCCACAGCACTCATCCTGTCAAAGAACCTGCTAAAGGGGTCCCGTGTGTCTCAGGAAAGAAAGGCAGCAGGAAGAAAATTAGCATGTATCAGAAATCACTGCTTACTGGAACTTGGATCTCCTTTAGAACTCATGGCTATACTTTTTTGAGCGAAACCATCTGCCTCTGAAAGGCTTAATATTGCTACTGAAGGAAGTTTTCTAACTGAACAGACTTACTAGCTTTTCTTCTGGGAAACAGGAAGAGAAAAGCCAATATAGAGACTTTGTGAAAGAGAAAGCCATGGAGAGAAATGGACTTGCAAAGACATCCCCATCTACCCAAATAACCAGAGCACACAGAAGCAAGCAGAGATGGAGGGAGAGTCCTCAACAAGGCACGCGAGACCATGATCTGAGCTCACTCTTGGCACTGAGAGATGTCTTTCTTCTCTGCTTCACCTTCTTTCCTCTTAGTCCCTACTTTTTTCGAGGGGTAGGCGTTCAATGGATGAACCATCAGGCCAAGTCTCCACCAGCACCTAAACCTACTTCTACTTTACCCCACTGCAAAACCTGCTCTGAGCTGAGCAGCAGACTGGTTTCCCTCCCATTGTTTGACAGCTAAAGGTTCAAGGAGACCACCAGGTCTGGCCACATGATAATTTAGGATGGACTTTATCTCATGTCATTTTAGCTATTTAAAAGGCAGGCATCTAAGCAAATCATTCAGACTCTGCAGGTGAGAAAGCAGAGGGAGGGCTCTTCACCCACCCTCCCATTCATGGGGTGAGGTCTCAAAAGAAAACAGCTGTGCTCTCTGGAAGCTCCCATCACTCTCTGCTTAACATAGAAGGAGCACAGACACCAGCTCAGCCTGGGGGCACCACTTCCAGGCAAGTATCTTCAACCACCACACACCTACTTCCATCCGATCCAAACCCCACACAACACATTAGGACCTAAAGGTTTAGTGCTGGAAGCACATCTTCACCAGGGCTCATGCCTCTAAGGCTTCTCCAAGGTGTGCAAGTGTAGGGACACGCTTTGGCCATAGTTGGGGCAAATCCTCCCCAAAAATGGGATGCCACAAGCCAGCTCATACACCTGACTGGGTCAGCGCTTTGCCTGCTGGGGTTTGCTTCTCCCATGGCTGGTTTCAGCTGGGGGATGCTTCTCTGCAATAGCCCTATGCAGGGAATTGAGAAACATTTGGGATTTAAATAAAGAAAACATGGAGGTTTAAATAAAGAAAACATGAAGCATGCAAGATTCATTCCCTCCATGCCTATGCCCCTTAATGAGATGATCAGTGACCTAATTTATATCAGGTCACCAGTTTTCGGTACAAAAGGCTGTTGTAAGAAGTGCTTTTTCCAGCTATTTTTTTTCCTATAGGGAAGAAATAGCACTATAAATACAGCCCACCCTATTCTCCAAGGGCATAAATAGGCATCACTGCTCTAAAGCCAAGACAGACTTACTTGTACTTGCCAGGCAGGGAGTAGGTGCATCACTGGGAAATAATGTCAATACATAGGCACACACACATACATTTATATATTAAAATAATAATAATAATAATAATATATATGTATATTGTATTATATGTTATATATTTAATTATATTTTAATGTATATTTAATTATATTTTAATATATATGTATGTTAAACCTATATAAACCACAAAGGTAAGTCATACTTCTCTAGAATACTCAACCCTGAATGGCTCTTTATCTTAAATACACATTTTATATATATATATATGATTTATATGCATTTTCCTGTATTTTTATATATAATTTTGCATATATTCAGATATACATAAAAAGGCACAAAGGTGGGCACATATTTCCAACCTTGAATAGGTCTTTATTTTGCTATAATAATCTTATCCTGCTCTCCCTTAAAAAAAAGACATCTTTGTAAAGCTACACAGCCATTTCTATGCTATCGGTACAGAGGGTAAGTTATTAAGGAAGTGAGCATCAGAAATCATCCTGAAAAGTCGACACTGTGGATTTTAACCCCTCCAACCCTGCCATGGCTGAGTGGGTGTGTTGATAGATTCCAAGTGTTTCTGTTCACTGTATCATCAACTATGACCGCAGGCCTGCATAAAAATGCCAAGCAATTTTTAGCACAAGCTCAGCATGGCTAGATGCCATGCTCTTCATATGGCATGAAGCCCTTCTAATAGTCCTTACTGTTATACCTCCTCCTCCCCGGCTCCAAAAAACCCCCACCATGAATGTAAACCTTCAAATCTTTCCATTGACCGTAATGAAAGGGTAGTTTAGCAGCAAAAATGTGCGGGGGACATCGTTACTCAAGTTCCAGTAGAGGTTGGGAGGCTGGCACAGGAGGGAAGGGAGGGATAAAAGCTATTTCAAGTGGTAGTACAGCCATAAATAAAGAAATATTGACATATTATGCCAGGATCTGTGCTGTCGTTGGAAAGGGCAGGCAGGGAACACAGGGCACATTCAGAAGACCACAGAGATTATTTAGATGGAGAAGAGTAACTGTTGTGTATATACATTTTATATACATATATATATGTAAAAAATACGATACATATTTTTTATATATATTGGATTTTCTGAGTCTGAGCCTGAAAACATTTGTACACCTGAGCACATTTGCCCATTTGAGTAGGGTAACAGGTCTAAGAGCTCACAGGATTTCAGGCATTATTTGTTGCCTGCCAGCATGATATGCATGGCTATGGAGAGCCATGCTCAGGTCACCATCTATGGCAACCAGAAAAGACTCCTGCATTCACACCAGCATCTGCACTCCAGCCCTCAACGACCACCTACAGCCAGCTCCTAGGTGGGTGGTGGAGAAAACCTTCCCAACAGAAGGTCACAGCACAGGTCTCTACAGCCCTCCACTGAGAGCCAGCTCTGCTGGTCCTGGAGAATAAGGGATCTGAGTCACTCCTGCCCTCCTGGATGGAAAATGTTATATCGAGCATCTCCATCTGTCTTAGGTATAATCATGGGTATGGCGCTGTTCCTGCAAAACATTTGTACCAGGAAGCAGCTTGACACATGGACGAAGTTCCAAGTGAAGTGAAAGGCATGAAGTTAAGCACTAGCAGGCCCTGACATTTAGAAACGGACTTTAAACAGGATCCTTAAACAGGATTTAGGCTTGATTTTCAGCTTAAGTACTTACATCCAAAACTGACATTCAGAAAGGTCTCTTCAGCCACCTGGTCCTGGAGATCCCAACATTTCTAATACTTCCCTTCTTCAATCGCAAACCATCACGTCTGCGCTCCTCCTCTGCATTTCCAGAACTGACCATGCAAACACTCTCCTCCTGCCAAAGACCCTCTGAAAGCCAGAAACCAGCACACCACAGGTCTCTGCACTAAGATCTCCAAAGGCATCTGGAGCATCTTTAACAAACCTGCTCACAGAACAAGGCTATGAGCTTTGTCTTTAAAGCACTGCCACCTGGGGAAAGAAATACCCCACAGATCTTCTGCAGTAACCTGGTGGCCAGAGCTTCTCAGAGCTAGCCCAAGTCTCTTGTTTTAAACAGGTTTAAGCCCACACACAGCCTCAGAGACATCTGCTTAGCCCAAAGCTAGAGGTTGTTCTGGATAGGAACAAGTCAGAAAGGAGTACAAGATCTCTATGGCCAAGAGGACAAACCACAGGCGAGATCCTGCCTCTGTAACCCAGCAGTTAAAGCATTCACCTTGGAGTGGGAAGTCCTGGGTTTTGGCCTGATGGTATTTCAAGAGCTTGACGTGAAACGTACATGCAGATGCCAGAAAAGGGACTGCCCCTAAAACCTGGCTTAGCTCAAGCCAAAGGCAACATGCAAAGCAAAGCTCAGGCAGCTCTCATGGTCCTAAGCAGGTCCCCATGTCAGAGGCACGAGTTACCTCTGCATCCTGGACATCCTGTGGAGCTCCATGTCGTCGCTGCCGCGGAAGCCTTTCGCAAAGGGGTTGTTCTCAATCTTTAGCTGGGTGATCTGAAAGAGAGGAAATGCAACGGGTTCATCACAAGTCCAAGGCATGGCCTGGGAGAGAGGGGATATTGTTTATTAAACCCAAGCCAATAGGGATGTGGTGGAAAACACAGCTTTCAGGAACTCAAGTCTTCCTTTGGTTCAGGCACTGACCACTCCAGATGGGCCTTCCTCTGCATCGCTCCACTGGAAAAATATCTCCTGTCAACAACTTCTCGCTTCTCTTAGGCTTGTCCCTAACACATGGGACTGCACACACACACACAGATTTCTCTCTGGAGAAAATCTGCTTTCTTAGACTTATTTTCATTTTGTTACTGGGACAGAAAAGGCTGCACTGACTGCAGGACCAGGGATGAAAGTCACATTGCCTGAACAAATCCCACCAACACTGATAAGTATTTTCTCATCAGTGCACAGCCATGACCAAAACCTTACCTCTCTAACCCTGTATCCCACTAGTCAGGCTACTGAGGCTCACCCTTTATGCATTTCAGACCAGCTAAATGCACTCCAGGTGCTCCACATCTGGCATCCCTCCACAACCAGCCCCACACCTGTAAGCAATGCATGGACTAACTTCCAGATTTACCTGGAGGACAGCTTCACCTCTGATCATCATGTCTTGAAAGAATATTTGTCTCCCCATTCATTCTAGAAGGAATTAACAAGGACTAACTTGTTCACTTGGTTGGTTGCCTTCATCATCTAAAGCTTGCCGGGATTAATCCCCCTCAGACTCCTAACTTTGATCCATATATAATATTTAAGTGTGTTAAAGAACATACACTTATCCAAAGCAACTGAGGCACAGCCCTCTCCTTCACACACCCCTCCTAAGGGCTTAGGTGAGTAGGTTTTCTCAAGCCAGGGTTTGTCATTTAAACCAATAGTAACTGTGGACCAGCAACACCCTCAAACGCCCTGGTGATATCGTACAAACTCTCTCTGGATGTCAAATGTGATGGAAAAGCTTTGGGGTCTTTGCAGAGGACTGAGTCTGGATCAGATGTGATCTAGATGCAATGCCCTAATACTGAGGCAGAAGAGGCAGCATTTCCCCTTCTTCTCTTTCTCCATCACTGCCTGGCAGTCCAAGCCCCTAGCCAAGAGTTGGGAAAACCACTTGCATTTGCCCAGGAGAGAGAGTTCTGTGTTTGCCATTGGAGGAACTCCGTGTGCTCACCGCATTTTATGGAAACACTGTCTTTCCTTCCTATTGAAAGTTGGCCAACAGGAAGGAAAGAGCTCAAGATTAATGGTGGGAGAACAGAGAGAGGCTCATGTTCACCAAGTCAAGCACACGCAACTGGACCCTCCTCTTTGCCAAAATTCAAAGAGAAAAACCTGGCTCAGCTACAGTCAATAGCAAACCCTGCCAGGTGTCTGCACAACCAGATTATTTTGCTATTTTCTTGTCTTATAGCATGTTTTTTTCCCAAAGGCTATTTGTTCACTTGCCATTTTTGCCTAATTCAGCCTCAGAACTCAACACAAAGACCCCCTGTCACCCCTACGCTTGCCGCCATGGGCATTCCTATTAAATCAGGACCTAATTTAGCACCTAAACAGGGCATTGCACTTTTTTTTTGGTCATACATTTCAGATTTCAAAGAGAAGGGTAAACAACTGATCTATTTGATCCAATTTGCCATTCAAGCCATTCCCTAGCAGTAAAATGGGGGCACATTTAATAATTATAAGTCCTTTGTAATTAGACAACCAGCTGAGTATTTTGCAAAGAAGCTACCTACTGGTTTCCACTATAGAGGTGGTGGCACTTGTAGAACGAATAATAGACATTATTCAAGTTTTTGACTGTTTCTAGGTAATTTGCATTCTGAAGCACACTAAATGTACGAGTTGTCCTCCCTCACCGAACCCAATGGCAATATTTGCTTGCATAAGTGAAGTCCTTCACTGAGCAAGGATTTACAACATTGGCACCAGCACACAGATGTACAAAGGGCCAGATTCATCTCAACCTAACCGAAGGCATTTTAACCAAGGCGCCTGCACCGGGAACCTCGTCTCTCAGTGTTCCTGCTGGAATAAGTGGTGGGAGATGGGGACTGCCAGAGGGCACTGGGGCTCTGAGGTGGGCAGCATTGCCTTCACAGGTCCCCAGCTCTCTCCATTCACTGGAGAAGGAGTCATCAACATGCTAGCCCCTGATTTAAGGGCCTCAGATGAATGCTGTGTCTGATGAATCAAGCCTTTATATCATAGAATCATAGAATGGTTTGGGTTGGAAAGGACCTTAAGATCACCTAGTTCCAACTCCCTGCCATAGGCAAGGAAGCCCCACACTAGACCGTATCACCCACAAAATGTCAGACAAAATATCATATGGGCCCTCAATCTTGTCAATACATTGCTTCATGAGTAGAGAAGTCCCTAACTTCCATCATGAACACACTTAACAAGCAAACATATGTGTCAGTAGCAGAATGCCCCAAGTGAATCATAGCTAACTTCAGCCTCCATAAAGTCAGAGATCTGCTAGATTGAAGGCATCTAGGAACCAGGAGCTAGAGAAGGTTTTAAATTAGGTCTCAGCATTTTGGTGGGCTTCAGATGGATTTCAGGAGAAGCTTTCTGAACAAAGTTTCCCTAGATGGTAGCTCAAGGCATTAGCCTTAGCACTAAGCCAGAATAGTCCATGCCAGATTTAACAAAACCCTACACAACAAAACAGAAAATAGAGAAGGAGGTGGTGAATCCCTGCTTTAGAAAACAGCCTGGGGAAGATATTTTGTTTGGCCAGTTTTTGTCCGACTTACAAACTATTTCAGAGGTGGAAAAGCAAACGAGTGGGTGGAAATAACCTCCTCCTGGATCAGCTTTGCCATAGCGAAACTGTTTAATTGACTATAACTCATTGAGGGGGGGGAGAAAAAGCTGTCAGAAAGTCAAATGACAATTACATCATGAAAAATAAACTGAAATACAACGTCCTGCAAAGTCATTAAGACAGAATGCCCAGAGCTAAATTACATACCACTGATTCAATAAAACCATAGGGCTACATCTGTGTATTCATTACTCAAAGAAACTGACGGCAAAGCTCACTGCTGACCACTGATGCGGACCCTTCTGAGACAAGAGCTTTCCAGAGTGAAGCCTCCCAGACTGATGCTTTTCAGGGCTTGTATGACCCATGGGTTCATCTTCACTTTAACAGGAAGCGACAGTTCCCAATGAAATCTCAGCACCACTCCTCCACACTCCTTTCTTTGGGCTAACTGACCACAAAGCACATCTGCTGAGACATTTCCAATAGCATCTTTAGCTCCAGCATGATAAAATTTGCATCTGGTTACATCAAGGAAAGACTCTTTACAAAACTGAAACACTGCATGCCAGGTATATGCCCTGGGCTCCATTTTATTTACTTAATTTGCCATCTGCCAAATTGGTCCTACTTCTTTGGAGCACTTCAGCTAAGAGAAAAGATACTACCCTGACCCTCTCAGGCTCTTCTGGAGGCACTTCTGAAAGTGTCGTAAAGGCTGGGCATTGTACAAAAGGGACTTCATGTTCTGCAAGGGATGGGGAACCTTAGTTTCTGAGCTCTTTTCTTGTGAACATGAGTGGCAAAAAACATCACCCTTCTGGTCACCTCGTTTAGTGATGAAGAGGTTGAGGTGTTTACGCTCAAGCTTAGCACACATGGACCTCCCCATGTTGTGGGGATAATGTGCTGTCCTTGCCCTGCATGTGACCATGGTCCTTCTCAGCATACCGTGGCTTTAGGCTCAAAAGCACAAAGCCTTTTTCTTCTGCACTCTCACATAACCCAGGTGGAAACCAAGTCAGTGTGGAGGAGGAAGCCAAACCCAGAGAAGTGGGAAGGAAAGAAATAGCTGAAGACAAGGTGCCTGCTGAGACTACTTACATCTGGCTGGGCCAAACAGAGGAGCTGGATGGGGAGCTGGGACTCAGAGCCCAACGTAAAGGCCAGGAGAAGGGGGGGCTGCTGGCAATAGGAAGAAGATGACGAACCCAGAAGCCAGTGAAGGAAATGGGAAGGATTGAGAGCCAATGGCTGGTTAAAGGTACTGGTGTGAGACAGAGGAGCTCATTGAGGAGGCTGTTGGCTGAACTGGGAGACAAGAAAAGAGGACGGGAAGAGACAGACCTTGCACAGTGTTGGATTGGGGGTGGGAAGGAGGTGAGTCAGAGGCAGGAGTGAGGCTGGAGGAAGATAGGATGTCTTTGAGGAGCTTGGGCTGAGAACCCCGTCCCCTGGCTGGCAGGGACAAGACTGAAGACAAAGGTGCAGAGGGAGACAGGACTGGTTCAGACATAGGTTGTGAAGAAGGCAGGACCTCTTGAAGGAAGCCTGGAACTGACTAAGTCTCCCACTGAAGCCTGAAATGGGACTAAGCATTTGAAAGTAGGGATGTGAGGAGCCCTGGAGAAGGTCAGTGAGGAAAGAGCTCACTGCAATCCTGAAGCAGCCAAGGGATGCACAGAAGCCACCAGTCCCAGCAATGAAGAGAAGATGCATGGCCTCACCTCCCTTAACTCTTGGGATCCCTGTCTCTCTCAGCACTTGGGGGACCCACCAAGTAAGCAGAGGGGCTCCCCCTTCTTGCCATGGATATGGGAAGACATGGAGCCGATGGCTCCAGGCTGGGCAGGAAGAGTCTGGGGAGCACAGCCCTGCAGGGCTCCTTCAGGGGACTGGACAAGGTCCAGCCTCTGCACAGTGGCACTCCATGGAATGCCAGCTGGACCGCTACACTGATGACCTCTACTGAAGTGAAGGAGCTGCAACCAAAGACAAGGAGAACCAAGCTCTCAGGACAAAGCACCCCAAGCCCTGCAAGATACCCTGATAGAGAAGAAAAAGACAACATGCTCAGAGAAGAGACACCAACTTAACAGTGCTATTTTGCCACAGGGGTCTTTCTGGGGGTGGGATGAACCTCTACATTCAGAAAGCCACCCCTCCAGGAAATTTGCCTATGCCCACTGGCATCTGGGAGTGCGTCCAATTCATCATCAGACAGATCCTTCCCTGGCTTTGCTATGGTGGACATAGCATTTCTGAGTGCCTATAGCATCCCAGCTGGGATTATGTTTCCTTAAAGGAATTCGGGCTACCAAGAATGTTAAATAACTTTGGGGCAGGGGGAGGAATATTGGCATAAACCTGGATATCCTGAGGAGGGAAAACCAATATAAAGCCCGAGCCCAGCTAAGGGGGAAAGTAGGTTGTAAAAATTAATGAGAATAATTGTTGTGAATTCTTGCTTTTGAAAGAACCCTCATGAGGGCAGAACCTTAATTATTTCTGTCTATTAGGGTTCATTTCCTGGTCCTAAGCACTGAGCTCGTACCTAATAAATACAACCTAGTAACACAATGATTTAAGCTACAGCAAAACAGGACTTAACTGCAGGGGAAAGTTAATATTAGGGACTCAACCTGATTGCAAGCACCCATTGTGTAAATGGCAAGGAAATGAAATGTGCATGTGACCTATTTTAACACCTCAATATTTCGGGGGGGCCTGGGGGGGTTGCAGGGTTGCAGAGAAGGGGAAGGTGATCGACAGAGCTGCTGACAACCACACTGAAAACTTTACCTAAACTTTCTTCATAGCTTAAACCTCCTTTTGGGCAGCGAGGCTGGGGAGGGACTGATCCCAGTGTGCTTAAATGTCTTTTCAGGCTGCCTAAAATATCAGGGGAAATAAGCACAAGTCCTACACTGAGATTGCAGCTGTGCTATTGAAATAAACTGAGGGATCTGAACTCGGGTATTTCTCTAAGCTGTGTAAGCATGGGCTCAAACTGTGGGCCAGTCATACAATTAATAATATAGTTCACCTATAATGTAGCTCTTGAAACCGAAAACACATGAATTTGTGTACATATATGTGTAAAATGTATGGGTGTATAAAGCAATGTGTAAAATACGGTGGCAAATACAAGCTATGTGTGATTGTGCAGATAGGAAAGTTTGTGTGAAGGCTGCGTTACAGGTGATGGATGGGAGAGAGGGATGGCTGTAAATGGGAAAAAATAGGTAGTGCCCTGACAAAGAGAGGCGGGATGGACAGGATGGACAGGCAGATCCCCCTTGGGGAGCTCCATACAGACAGACACAGACTAGTGGGACTGTGACCATCATTTATGGTAACAGGAAACACAGTCTGCATTGCACACATGGGAAAATGTTCCACCAAGCAAAACTTGGGAAAGCTGAACTTGGGGATCCACTTGTGGAAAAAGACCCACTTGCCACCCAAGGATGTCAACCCTTGCACCCAGCCATCATCTGCAACATCAGCTACAAACCACCTCAGCACTGCTATTATTCTCCATCTGCACTGGGGCAAGCTACAGATTTTATTCCCTTCCCTGGAGGGAGATGCCATTTGGGGTAGCTCATTCCCTGGTTTCTTTTCATGGCTCTATCTTCCTCAATTGGGCTTTATCTTGGGGCTACAACCACTCTTTACTCGTTTTCCCCAATGATTCAGTGCAGCAATAGGAGAAATGTGTGTGTCAGGGAGGGGAGGGGGGACGTAAGTGTGTGTAAAACGTGTAGGGGGGTGTGTAGAATATGTAGTGGTGGGTGCATGTGTCTGGTGGGATGCGAGCGTGTGTGTCTGTCGGGATTCATGCGTTTGTCAGTGCCTATGTTTTGACATAGACGGATACACAGATGTCATTTCTTATCAAACAGATGTTGTTGATTTACAATCAAATAGCCCTGCTCCTCCTAATATGGCACTTTTCCCAAACTACTGTACTTCGATGTTTCTGCTTTGCTTTTATTTGCATGATAATTCCTTTCTCTATAAACCAGTCCTATTTTTCATCAAAGGAAAGCAGTTAAATTCAGGTCTGTTTTCTCAGAGGGAAATGCCTTTAAAAAGAGCAGTGTGTCCAGTTTTATTAACTCCCAGTTCTATTAATATTATATTCTTTCTCCGAATCCATCAAGCAGAAGTTAAACTTGATTTTATAGCATCCACAGTGGAGTTATAATTTAAGGCATAATTTGGCGGGGACTCAGTTTGGATTCAGTTCGCTTGTCCTGGTCGTGCCAACAGCTCCTATTTTAAAGGGCAGGGAAGTATTTTCTTTTCTCCTTAGTTACGGTGAGACACTCTTTCTTCCCCAGCTCTCTACTTCTGCTCTCTGCAACTGCTTTGCCAACTGATGGCCGGAGATAACACACTTTGCATAGGTTTAGGAGCTTCCTACTTACATCTCCAGGAGAGCATCTAGGATTTAGCCAGGGTGTCAAATGACATTTCTCCATTTCAAAAACAATGATTTCACTCTGTCAAGTGCAAAGGAACCGTCCTACCTGCCTGTAAGTACAACTAAAAGCTTGTAGAAATTGCTTTCTATCAGATTGCGGGGGGGGGGGGGGGAATTTGCCTTTTTTCCCCCATAGGAAAATAATTGGCTTTTCCCGGGGCTCTGCCCTAGTGATGGTCTGCAGGCAGCAACGAGGGGCGGCTGGTGAAAGGCACCACTAATACATCTGCTGAGAACTCCCACCCTGAGCCTTCCTTCCCCTCCTTCTTCCTCGAGGGATGGGGAAGCCCAGAAGAAGAGAAGCAGGGTCCCCCGAGGAGGAACCAAGCCAAGAAAACCCTTATTTCAGCTACATTCTGCTTTGTTCTGCTCTGCTTCGCTCAGGCAGGCGGGATCTGATCTTAGGGTCAGAGCCTCCCTTTCCTTGCAGGGCCCCCCCGCTGCCACCCGCAGCCCCCCGGCTGGGGCCGGGCCCTTCCCTGGGCCAAGGGCTGGAGCGTTATCGGCCCCTGGTTGCTGGGGGAGAGAGCCGGGCTCCCCCCCATCATCACCAAGCTGGGACCGGCGGCAGGGGGGGAGATAAAGGCAACTTCCCCGGTTGGTCGGCTCCTCTTGGAGCAACCCATCCTGTTGAGCTAATTCCCCCCCGGGTCGCCCTGAGCCCAGTCTGTGGATGCTTTGTGCGGCCAGGAATAACAGAGGGGGTGGGAAGGGGCGGTGATGAGAGGGAAGGGGGAGAAGGGAAAGGGAGAAAGGAGGGGAGGTGGAAGGAGAAGGGAGGAAAAGGAAAAGAAGGTGGTGGAAAAGGAGGAGTGGGAAAGGGAAAGGAGAAAAGGGGGGAAAGGAGAAAAGGGGGGAAGGGGAAAGGAAGAAGGAGAGAGGGAAAGAGAAAGAATGAAGGAAACTGAAAGGGAAGGGGGGGAGAGGAAAAAGAGAAAGGAGGGAAGGAAAAGCGGCAGAGGGAAGACGGAAGGAGGGGGACGCCTCGCCGGTGCGAGGCCCGGCCCAGCCCCTCACCTTGTGGTTTTGGTAGGAGGTGACGGCGATGAAGGCGGTCTCCGGAAAGACATGGGTGCAAAAGGCGGTGTTCTTAGAGCCGAAACCGTTGTTCTCGTCCGCTTTCACGATGTGGAGCCGGGGCTGGTATTTGTGCATGGAGTTTAGGATGATCTGGGCAAGGGAAGAAGAAGAGGACATCCCGTGGGAATGGAGAGGGCACAGAGCGGAGGTGTCCGGGGAGAGGAAGAAGAGGAGGAAAAGGGACCGCAGATCCCGGAACTCTCTTCCCCAACGCCTTCGCTCTCCTTAGCCCCCATCTCCCCCCAACCCTCCCCCAGGGGCTGATCTCCATCACTCCATAATCCCTCACCCCATCCAAGCAGCCCATCAGGGCCGGTGATGCTGTGAAAGGGGTGCTTCTTCCCTGCTGTTCCCCCGCATCCATCCCTGGCCTGTGCTGCTGTGTCCCCCTGGGGGGGAGCTGGTCCCCAAACACCCGTGGGCATCCTGAACGTGCAGCTGGTGAGGGCAAAGAGACCAGAAGTGGGGTGCTGAGGGATTTAGTGTGTCCCGCAGAGGATGAGAGAGGAGGAGGTCGGGGACCGCGCTAAATTCAAGATAAAACGCGGGCCCTGCTCGGTACCGGGTTAATCTCGGGGGAAGGTGGCGGGGGGCCGCCCGGTCGCGATAATGACTGCCGGACCCTGGCGACAGCGAGACGCAGCGCGCCCCGCCGCCGCCGTCCCGTCCCGGGGGTTTAAGCAAATTGCTTTGACATCCAGGAAAGTCGTAGACATCAACGGTGAACGATCTAATGGCTTTTAATTTCATTACAGCGACTCTAATTGAGAGGCTCCTGGTGCAGCTCCTCCTCTGAAGTCCTTCATTGTCTCCCCAGTCCCTTCGCTTTGTTTAGAGGGACTTCTCCCCAGAGCCGCCTGTTCGCAGCGGGGGATGCCCGGCCCCGTCCCCCAGTAATGCCCCCCAAAACCCCACCGAGGGGGTAGGAGAGGTCCCCCCCCAGGCTGCGTTGCTGCGGGGTCCCCTCTCTCCCCTCCCTCTTCCTGGAGGAGGAGTGGGAAAAGTGCTGAGCCCTGGAAAAACAGCTCTTGCAAAGCACTTTGTCTGCAACTCAGGACAAAAAATGAACCAAAATCGATCTTAGAAAAGGAAAATAAGATAAATGCACCCCTCCCCAGCTGCGGTGAAAAGGAGCTCATAAAAGATGCTCAGCATTGGGGTGGGCTGGGGGGGTCTCTCTCCAACAACTCCCCCCCTCGCTTCTCAGCGACTATATGGGCAAGGATTTAATAGCCCGAGATTTATCATTAAAAACTGAAGGAAAAAACCAAAAAGGAAAGAAAGAAAAACCAACACTTGGAATAAAAAATGAAACTAAAGTGTTGAAACGAGACTGGAGGAAAATATGCTCTTGGAAAGAGATGGCGGGATCTGGACTCGCATACCCGTTTAAGTAATTATATATATATTTTATAGAGAGATATATATTATTCATACGCGCGCATATATATTCGCTCCGAGGACCAAGCATCTTTGGGGAGCTCCGAAGGAGGGCTGGTTCTGGCTGCAGAATTCACACAAGCTTTCATGGCCCCATGGGTCCAGCAAAGCCCTTTTTATGTCCAAGAAGCTCTAGCGGGATTTCAATTACTTTCTCATTATTATTATTATGGTCTTTAATTATTGCTGCATTTTCTTTGGATCGAGGAATCCGCACGGTTTTAGGTCCTATTTCCCTCCAATAATTGTGCCTGATTGATTTTACCTGTTGGGCAAACTCACGGAGGCAGGGAGCAGATTTTAACACTCCACGGGTCCCCATGAGATTAAAACCAGGTAGTTGAATACTCGATTAAGCCGGGCGAGTTTCTCCCACTCGCGGATTCCAGCCCTGGGGATCTGTAATCAATTCCCATGCAGTGCTGCGAAATAGCCCGGTTTTAAGGTTTATCCTTCCATTTCTCGGGAAAGGTAGGATCCTTCATTGGGGTTTACCCCACTCTCTCAGGCAAGACAGCAACACCCCACCAACCCGCTGGATTTGGGGATGGGTGACATTGCCATGACCTTGGTAGCGCTGGCAGTGGCGGGGGGACCACGCGTTGGTGCGGGACACGCTGTGGGAGCGGACTGTGCCCCTTTCCCTCCCTTCTCCCGTACTTACATGTCCGAAGGGATCGAGGTGGTTGTTGGTAAGTTTGAGCTTCTGGAAGGAAACCAACTGCCTCATCCAATGGGCGCCGGTGGCCGGGGAGTCGGGGTGCACGTACAATCGCCCAGGCATGGCCGGCTCTGCCTTCCCCGTCACCGACCTGTGAGGAGTTGGGGGGGACACGGGCCCTGAGCTCCGGCCGGGAAAGGGTCCCCTCCCATGGGCTCCAGCTCCCCATCCATCCCCTCCCATGGGATCCTGCTCCCCATCCATCCCCTCGCGAGGGCTCCTGGTCTCCACCCCAATACACACCCTCTCCCGTAGGTGCCCCCCACACACACACCCGGGTGTTCCCACGCCGTTTCTGGGGAGAAAAAGCGTTTACCAACGCTGCTCGGGAACTAACTGAGCTCTCTGGCACCTCTCCCGCTGGAGCTGGCTCTCGCCATTTCCCCGTTTAACCCCATCATTCCCCCCCCCCACCCCCTCCCTAATTGCCGGCGCCCAATCCTTAAAGATAGAGATAGTCCCTTTCTTATTGCAATTAAACTATCAGCTCCACAATAGCCAATAATCTCATCGTCAAACAGGATTACAGTTATCGTTAGCTAATGGATGCCTTTCCCAAGGACCGTGGGAGCATCCCGAGAGGCTCAGGTGAAGCCCCTGCACCCAACATCTCTCTTTTCCAGGGGGGAAAATAAGCGCTGAGCATCTTATTCATGGGTATCCCCAGCCCAAAAAGCCCGACAAAGAGATCTCCTTCCGCTTTCGCCACGCACACCTACCATTTATTATCTGCAAATTTATATCTGTGGTCATCCGCTGGTACAATATCCATCAGCAGAATGTACTTCGTTTTTGGATTAAGTCCAGTGACCTTCACTTTGTAACTGGGGAACATGCGCCTATTAAAACCGAAATAAAACAAATAAAAACACAGGTTAAAAGCGGAGAAGGGAAAAGTTTTCCAAGGTGGTTTCGTCTGGGTGTTTGCAGGGGGGGGTCATTTAACAAAAGGACAAAGCCACATTCTCCCTTCCCGAAAGGCCAGGGGAGGGCTGCAGCCTTCCTTCCCCTTAGGGGGGATGTTTGAATGCTGCTTGGTGCCCCTCCAGCCCCCAGCTGAAACAAAACAGGCGATTTATCAAGGCAGAACCGTAATAGGAGGCTGGCGGGTTTGATATTGACCCACTCGTGTGCTTGCTGGTCTACTCCTATTTGTACTCTTTGTTTCGAATCTCCCTTCTTTGAACAAAATCTGATCATGAGAACTTTGGAAACGAGTTACTTCCCTCTATACATAAACGGCTGGAACAGGAGGGGAGATTTGCCAAAGAAATATATATATATATATTTAAGATACATATATTTCAACCACCTCTATGTGTATCAGCAGTTGAATGTGTATGAATGTGAATGAAAGAGCACCCCAACCTACAGACACTCAGGTGTCCCACTAAATCCGTGCGCGGGGGACATCAGCAAACACACCTGACAAAGACTTGGAAAGCGCTCGGATACAGGCTGAAGAACAGGGGCTTTTCGAAATAGTTTCCATTACTGCAAGGCAGGGACTTAAAACACTCGGTGTTATTTTAGTTTGCGCTTTCCAAATATTTAAAAATAAAGCCGATGAAAATGTATCCCTGGACTTAAAATACGCCTAAACAAAACCCCCACACCTCTAAAAATACCGCGCTCCCCCCCCCTACCCCAGCCTCGGGTTCTTATCTCTGCCATAGGGCGGCTAGGCTGGGTTTTAATGCTTGGGGGGGGGGGGGGTAGAGGGGGAAACGGGGATTTACTTTAACGTTTAAGGGAGAAGAAATCCAGTTCCACCTGAAGAATGATCTGCAACTCTATTGACAACACCTGACCGGCGGGAACACGGCCTTCTCCAACAATAAACACAGCGAATTAGAGATAGGAGGAAACCGATCGCGTATCTCCCCTGCAGCCCCTGCCCTGTAAATGTCTGTTTTATTGCTCTCCAGATGAGATTTCTGTCCACCGCGCTATTTTGGCTGGAATTTCTGCAAGGTGGTTTCTGTCTCCCTCCGTGAGCTGCTTTTTTTTCCTTTTTATTTCCTTTTTTCCCCCTCCCTCCCCTCCATAAACTCGGGTTTGGGGCGGTCCCTCCTTTCCCCCAGCCCCTATCCCACTCCGGGTTATGGGGTTCGGACGGTCCCCAGTAGCATCCCCCCTTCCCTGTTTGTAACCCCTTCCCTCGGACACAAACCCCTTCTTTAAACCCCACTTTCCAGCAGCAGCGAGGTTCAAGGCGAAGGCGAACTATGAGACAAATCTGTCTGCTAAAACTTCATACAACCCACTCTGTATTTTCATTCACTTACTTTTCCCCCTCCTACTTCAACCAAGTTTTGGAAGATCACAACAAATGCCAGAGGACAGAGTAAAATGAAAGCTTGACTCCGCGTTGTTGATTGTGCCCTTACAAACTGAAGCTACTACATTTCTACACATGTAGAAGGTTTGGGAGGGCTTTTTCCCTTCCCTTTCTCCGAGGGTTTTAACTCAAACTCGTAACGAAAAGAGCCTCTCTCGGGCTGCCCCAGTTTAGCGACAGGACTGGAGAGGCTCTTTTACTGCATCTCGCTGCCTTAGGCACCCTTCAATCTAACAATCCTCTAACACATTAATATCAAAGATAAGGTTAAACGGCCCCAAACGCCCTCAAATACACACATAAATATCTGCGGATCGCGTTTACTAAATCGGTCATGGAATCGATTACGCGGAATCCCAATAAAGTTGGATTTGCGAGGTTGTATATTTTCCTACACTCCCACACAAACACATCCAGAAGCCTGTGTCTGGACGCACTTAGAGCCGCATGCTATTTATTTGCGGACACGTCTATCTGTGCATCTAAACAGCTTCGCGATCCGTACATAAACAGTAGCTCTAGACCACATCGAGTTTTAAATGGGGTGGGTGGGTGCTCTGGGTGTGTTCGCCTCGGTGTAAGCAAAATAAATAGGACCTGTCGGTAAACAGCGTAAGGCATTGCGAAATCGCAGATGGGCCGAGCTACTCCTTTAATGAAGATTAGAATAGTACTAATAGTAATGATAATAATAAGTCGCCCAGCGAGATGCTATAACCAAGGGTAGCTTCTGGCCCAGCGGTCGCAGCTCGCCTTCGCCTGGAAAGCTTCCAAAGGCCTGAAACTGGGATTAACGATCCAACGTTCTGGTTAAGAAAGAAGCTAGAAGAAACAGTTTCTTCTGACTAGATCCACGCAGGGACGGTTCCCGGGGCCGTGGCACACGGACACGGATGGGGGGGTCTCGATAGCAGAGATACGACCAATGTCAGGCAGAGCGGGGCTACAGCCGCCGACACGCACCCGCATCCACGCGTGTGTGTAACCACTGCAGGCAACTTCTCCCCACAAACAGGCCCACAAAAGGCCGATTCAGCCACCCAGAGACGAAGGGGAACGCGCCCCCCCCTCCGCTTCTTACCTCCCGGCCTTTGTTATGATCATCTCCGTCCCCACTTCGTGGAATTTCAGCCACAGCTCTCGTTCGTGCAAAAACACCTTTATCCCCTCCATACCCTGCGGAGGGGGAAGGCACAGACCGTCAGCCCTGGATGGGTACGAGGGAGGCCGCAGCGAGAAGCTCGGAGGGAAGCGGCAGGAGCTCTGGGCATTCCTAGGAAATTCCGGCCCCTTGCGCCCTGGCAAAGCCGGGGACAACGGGAATTCAGGCCGGGGGGTGCTGATTGGGGGACTGGGGCAGGACAGTGTGGGCCACTGTGCCCCCAGTGTAAGGTAGGCAGGGCCGGGAGCGCCGGGACCGGCTCCGAGCCGCTTCTGGGAAAGAGAAATACCCCAACGCTTTGGCCCAGGCACTCCAAGAGCCACCCGGAGGAGCCTTACACCCGCCGGCTCCTGTTCTGCTGCTGGAGTGATGTGGGGTGTCCCCTCCGCCCCCCAGCCTGGCTCATCCCTTTCACCCCCAGCCCCAAGCAAGGGCAGCCCGCAGCGGGGCCCTGCGATCCCAAGGTCGGCACCGCCGATGCCACCGTGGGGACCACACATCCCTACGCAGTGGGGTGGGAGACACAATGGACCCACACACACACACCCTCGCTGAAAACGGAACCGAAGCCCCCACCAAAAGCTTCAGGGACGGGGGGGAGCAATTTCCAAATGACCCCGAGCCCCAGGGCTAATCCCGGTACCCGCATTCCCATGGACGGCACCCACAGCCGGCGAAGGGCTCGAACCAGGGGTCTGTCTGCCAGAGGGTAAGCGGGGCTCTGAGTAGAGGCTCCGCAGCCGCTGAAGGCCAGGCGACATCGGTGGAAAAGCTCCTCTCCCGGCCTTCCCTTCCTCCTCCTCCGGGCTGCCCGGGGCCGAGCGCAGGGGACGGCTCCCGGCCCCGCCGGGAACGGGGAAGCCGAGCAGGGGGGATCGTGGCCCGCTGCTGCCTCGGCCCCTTCTCCCCCTGCAGTGCTGAGGTCAGCTGGGTCCCCCATAGGAGCCCACCCGTGTCCCAGCCTCACGCAGCACTCGGGGAGAGAAACGATGGAGGGTATGAAGGGCACCCCAAGGGTGTGAGGGGTTCCAGGGTCGGTTTGGGGGTACCCACGCGTGACACCCCCTTGCCTGCCCTCAGCGTCCTTTGCCTGGGTGCAGGCAGAGCTGCGTGTGCACCAGCGCGGCTGTACCTGTGTGTGCATATATATACATAAATATATGTATGTTTATATCTTGCTCAGAGATGTACAAGCACAGCAAATACACTCTTGTGCATGCACTTCCATGTGCATTTGTACCCTCACGCGTGGACCCCTTCATCAGCAGACTCCTTTCCACCGTATTTTGGGTGCTTTTCTGCATGCACCCCAATACTCACGCGTGCGCTTCCCCGCTTGAACACGGCCTCAAATAACACTAAAGCAGGATGAGGCCCAAAGGCAGGTGGGACTTCTCAAGCCCGTGGGGGCCTAAACCGACTCATCCCCGCCCAGAAGCAGGCACCCAGCTGAGCTGACATTTGGGGGCAAAATGCCGAGAAAAGGGGGAAACGCAAATGAAAGCAAGAGGAAGAGGAGCGTGGGTCCTTACCTGCTGCGTGAAGGCTGCCTGGGGTGAAGTGGGGGACTTGCTGGTGGCCCCCAGCTGAGTGTCCTGCTTGGCTTCAGCCTGGAGCTCCTTGGCCTCCGAGTCAGCCGGCGTGGTGGGGAGCCCGAAGCCTTCCTCGCTATCCGCCATGTTACGAGCTTCCTTCGCCGGATCCCCCACTGCAGGCACACATGGGGAGAGAGCGGAGATAAGAGACGCATAAGTCAACGCTGACGTTTAATAGAATATAGAGCTATCTATACATTAGCGATGGGAAAGCCAGCCGGAGCCCTAGAGCTGGGCTGCCCGACAAACCCGCTCTGCCCACAACTCACTTCCAGCTGCCCGGGGAGGGAACGAGGCCCTTTAACTTTGGGAGAGGGAGAAATAAAGACTTTTATTTATTATCGCAGCCCGCAAGGGATGATAGGATTTGGGGGGGGGGGGAGGAGCGGGGGAAGGGGGGGTGGGGGTGCGGGGAGGGAGGGGAAGGGGAGGCGGTATTACTGAATGCATCTTTTGCTAAAGGTAAACAGCGTATTTTAGGTCTGTTTGGCAGGACGCAGGGAGCAAGGCATCGAGGGGCTATGGACCGGCCAACTCATAGCAGAAGTGACTCTGAAGGTTTGGGGTTCAAGATGGAGGGGGGGGGGGAGTGGAAGAGACTCCCCTGAGATTTAGACACCTCCAATTGCTCCGGGTTCGCTGCTGCCGAGGGGACCGAGAGCCCCCTTCATTGCTCTCAAGGAAACGGGAGCTTTCGCCCCACTCCAGTAGCGACCAAGCAAATGCCACCGACACGCCAGGCCCCTTATATCGGCCCATTTGCAAAGAAAATTAAACTTCTGCCCTCCTTACTGGAAAAAAATAAAACCAAATAAATAGTAAAATAAAATAATAAAATAAACATAAGTAAAATAAATACAAATAAAATAAATATAAAGAAAATAAAAGCCTTTTCTCCTCCTCCCCGCACAGTTGCGAGTAAAGCAAAGGATGGACGAGATACTTAAAATTTAAAAGTACAAATACATCAGTGGGCCGAGACCCTGTGCAAGGTAACGCGCACTCGGGCTGGTGGAATTGGGGCTGAAGGGAGCTAAGCCGTAACACTGAGAGTCAAACTACACCGGCAGTGAAAATGAGCTTCAAAAATACACGGTTTCTCTCTGACGCGAGTAACCACAGCGAGTTCTAAAAGCGCTATTTTGACGTGGCTTTAAAGGCTCTATCAGGAATGGTAAAAGTTTAAAAGCAGCACCAAAAAAAACCCAGATAAAAGATAAAAGCAATTGAATTATCTGTTAGTTTTTGGTCTTAAGAAGTTTAGAGTTTTAGTAGCTTTGCGGGAGGGGGGGGGGATATCTCTGTCGTATGTTTCAAAGGGGATTCATTTTGGAAAGACCAACCATATGGAGGCAATATTGGTTTTAAAGACATGAGAATGTTTTGAAATGAGTTCTCCTTCTCCCTGCAACAATATTTAAACGCCTGAAAAAAAGGGGGGGGAAAAAGGGCAAATGTCCTTTAAATGCAGAGGAAAATTAGGGAAAAGAGGGGAGGGAAAATTGTCTTCCCTGATAGCGGTGGATAATAAATACACGTACATATATATAATTTAAAAGGACAAAATCGAAGGGATTCCAGGTCTGCACCTCTGGAGCTAAAGATCACGCACACAAACGGCCCGGCCCCAACTCCCTCCTTCTCTCTTTCCCTCCCTCCTTCCCAAACGCTCTTTTCCCACCGCACACCAGCCAAGAGCTTGGCACCAAGTGACTGAAGGGCGAAGCAAAAGCGCTACCGAGCGCGGAAAGTGCGCGGAGGGACGCGGGGCTCTACGGGAGCCGGTGCTCCGGGCCCGGGCCCAGCCCGCGGGGGCAGAGCCGCGGCTCCAGGGACCATTTAAGGCTTTTCTCTTCCCCTCCTCCTCCTCTTCTTCTTTTCCCCCTCCCTGCAATGTTGTTTCCCTATTTTTCCCCTTGATGCAGCTTGGGAAGTTCCCGTTATCCGTTTTTGAATCGATTTCACTCCAGCTTGGAGTTATTATTCCCCCTTGAGCTGCCAAAATTAGAGGAGAAGGGGAAGGAAAATAAATAGCGTTAATAAAGAACGTTTATTAAAACAAAGAAGGAGCCAGCTATGGCAGCGCAGGGCAGCCCGGCCCCAGCGAGCCCTCCGCGTCGAGACGCGATAAAGCAAATATAAAAATACTAATAATATTCATTAAAAAGAGGGGATAACGGCAAAAAAAATAACCCAACAACTAAGAGCAATTGGGGATCCATGCCTTCTCCTTTTTTTTTTTTCCCTTTAAATCGCTGCTGAGAAGAAATAGAGCTTGACAGAACCAGGCCGCGGTGGCTGTATGAGAAACGCATCTTGCTCTGCTAAAGTAGCACCAAGTGGGTTTGCGGAGGGGCAAAAATAAAGGGGAACAGGAAAAGACCCCCCCCCTTTGCTTTTGTCCCTCGCCCCCCCCTTTCCCAGCCCCACACGCGGCCGATGAAGCCCTGAGAGGGCAGCCCCCCCCCCCCCCCCCCCCCCCGTTTTCCCCTTCTCCCCCCGTCTCCCGAGGCCTCGCAGCTCCTCGGCAGTCACAATCTGTGCCCAACAATGCCCCCAGCCAGCCCCTTTCACTCTCTCTCGGTCACCCCCACGCACACACGGATGACAGACACCGACGGACATACATGGCAATGGAAGAGCTGTTACCTTGCTCGTTGAATTCCATGCAATCAATGCATCTCCGTACATATAATGTGTGTGTCTATTTTCCCCCTTTGCAATGGAAATTACAATGGGATCAGGCTTCGCGTGTGCATATTTCCTTTTATTTATTTATTTGCGGATCAGCATGTGAAAACCCAGCCTGGAAGAAAAAAATCTATCCAATGCAAGCCTGCTTGCCTGCTCCTCTCTCTCTCTCTCTCTTTCCCTCCCTCCCCTGCTCTCTCCAAACACTTCCAGGTTGTCAGACGCACTAGGAAGGATCCTGAGACCAAGATAAAGCCCCCACCCCCACCTCAGCCTGATCTGGAAGATGCAGTTTTCCCCACCCCACTCTTCCTACTCCCTACCTAAAAAAAAAAAAAATAAAAATTAAAAAAATAAAAATAGCAATAAAAAAAGAGGGAGAGGATTCAAGAGAGGAAAAAGAAAACGCCTCCCTCGTGGAGAAAAATTAGAATAAAAACGCAAAAAAGAAGGAGAAAAGAAAAGTTTCGGGCTGGTGGCGACCTCCGCTCCTCCGGGCAGGTTCGCGGCGCTGCCGCCGTGGCTGCGCGGAGCCGAGCGCGGAGCGCGGCGGAGCGGAGCGCGGAGGTGACGTGGGCTCGTCCAGCTCCGTCCGCCAAGTGCCGGGACCCACTACCCAACCAGCTGGGATCCTGCTCCGGAGAGACTCACCCTCACACAGCCCTCCCCGCCCCCTCCCCCCCTAAACCTCCTTTTCCAGCCTATTTTTCTGGCCGGCAAACAAGAACAAGGCACAAAGACAATCATCAAACTCCCCAGCAGCCCTCCCCCCTCTCCCTCACCTCCTTCCCCTCTCCTTCCCTCCCTCCTCCATCCATCTCTCCCAACCAAAGAGAAAATTCAGCGCCTGGGAATATCCCCCCCTCCCCTCCCTCACCCCTTTAAATAAATCGCTGGCTCCGCTAACCTCGCACAGCCCCCCCCCAACACCCCCCTTCCTCAAAGCCAGCCTAGAGGTGTGGATTTAAACCCAGCTTTATATTTGCTAATGCTTACAGAGGCCTTTTACTGGGGGGGGGTAGTGGGGGTACCCCCTAAATGGACTCACTTAGGTATAACCTGGGGGGGGGGGGAGGGAAGAGGAAGGATGAAATGCAGCGGAGTGGGACTGAAAAACCCCGCGAAGATGGACCCCTAGTGGGGTTGTTGGCCCTTCTGCCCGCTTGATGAAGGCAGCCAGGCTCCTTCTCCTGCCCTTCCCCATCCTCTTCCTCACCCCGCGCGGCGCTGCCCGGCCGCGGGCCGCAGCCCTGAGGAGCTCTTCGCCTCGCTCAAATAATCAACCCGTCAGGGAGGAGCGGGGATGTGGCTTTATCTGCATCTTCCTTCGCTCCCTTTTTTTAATGTATTATTGGGAGGGTAAAGTTGAATAGGTCAGCGCAGGGTAAACAGCCTCCCTGTCGCATTCTGCGGGCTGAAGAGAACCAGATTGGCGAGGCGGATTTTTGATAAGACTCGGAATAAACGGCATGGTTTAGATCTACTCTGCCCACCCTCCTCCTCCTCCTGCCCCCACCCTCTCCTCATCAGTGTGTCCCATCCTTGTCTTCCCCCCCCCTTCCAATAAAATAAATCCCTCACTCTTTTTTTTTCTGCCTTTCGCTCGTTTCTTTTGCATTTCGTGGAAGTTTTCAGCAATCCCACCCTTGGTCCCAGCTCCCGCAGGGCGCGATAACACCGGAGCCCCCTCAAAGTTTGAGGTGAGGAAGCGAAAAACCTGGGGGTGAGCGGCTATTAGGGGGGTGGAGGGGTGGTATGGTAGGGAGGGCACCATTTCCCGTGTTCGCCACAGTTGAAGCTGCTACTTGAGAAGAAACAGCCAACAGTAAACGGTTGCAAATAAGGATAATAAAATCACCGCACTTGTAGCCACAGAGAATAAGCCAAAGAATGCTACTTAAACAAACAGAACAAAGCTTGCCCCATATTTCATTATTTTTAGAGGGAAAGGAGCCGTGGAGCTTTTCCAAAGACAAATAAACGAGGGAGCGAACCGGGAGGCTCTTCCCGCCGGGAAGGAGGCGGCGGCGGCCGGAGCAGCCCCGGGGCCTGGGGTGGGCGGCCCGGCCGAGCCCTCCCACCGCACCGCGCTGCTGCGAAAGGTGCAAACCAAGGGGTGGAAAAACAAGGGGGGAATAAACAGGTATCAAAGAGGAGCTGCCGGTGATGGGTGCTTGGGGAAAGCCGCGGAAGGAGCGCGGTGGGCGCAGCCCCGAGCGTATGCTGGGAGCATCCCCCGAGGTACCCAGTTCTGCCGCAAGAAGAGGGGTTTCTCTTAAAAATCCCAACGAAAGCACCGAGGAGAAAGGTTTCTTGCAGCCGGTAGCGAGGGGGAACCCGAGCTCCCCTCCCTTCGCCGGGATGAAAGGCAAAAAGTGAAAATCCCTCAAGTTTGGAAGAGCGAACCCGAGCACGGCCGCTGCCTGGGAAAACACTCACCTCTCCAGTGCCAAACTAGCGCTCACACACCTTGAAGACAAGTTGAAAACGATGCAAATAAATCGAATTTATTTCCGTCTGCAGGTTGGATGGGGGTAAAAAGAAAGGGGGGAGGGGGGGAAGCTGGGAAAAGGATGGCAAGTCCAGGCTCTCCAGGACCGTAATGTCAAGGCGAAGGAGCCTTCCAGTTAGAAGCCGATTTGTGGTCTCCGACAAATTAAATATTACTGTTTATTACCAGCCATACTCCGATAAAATAAAGAGAGTTCAAGGCGATAGCTGCTATCTCACGAGCTTTGCTCCTATAGGACACGGAGACGTCACCAACCACGCAACTGGCCTGTTCTGTCATGGTTGACTGCAGCAGTAATGGAAGGTTAATTTGTATTATTCTCCTCTTTTTAAGGCTCTATCAGTGAGATTCTTGCTTCCCCCCCCCCTTCCCCTCCCCCCCAAAAAATCCATTCAGTGCAATGCAAAATGCAACGAAGCTGTGAGTGTGCAACCTCTCTATATAATGTGTGTGTATATGTACACATAAATATACATATATTCACACGCCGAGACATATAACGCTTATGCGGGTGTGAGGCCGTATAGTTCATATATGTATGTATCTCTTATATATATGTGTGTATATATGTATTTATCTCATATATGTATGTGTATCACCCAAGCAGGCACAGAGGCGCTGGAAACTCCAGAAGAACCCGCTCCTTCTTGGAATGGAAAAGGCGGAAAGCAGCAGCAAAGCTCCCGTTCACCAGGAGCAGCCCAGTTCATCCAACGGTATTGGCATTGTTCAGCTTAATTTAGCAATTTCATTGTATTTTCTTTAAACAATGCTCTTAGAGCGAGCAGAAAACTCGTCAGATGAATGTTCAGGCGCTTCTGGAAGGCAGCACACTGGGCTATATATAGTAAATGATAACCTGGTTATTTGCACAGATTCAAGTGTGCTTCGGGAACCAAGTATTTACTCTGATTTAAAATAAATAAATAAATAAACTGGGGGGGGGGGGAGGGAAGTAATAAATCGAGGCGATTATTTGCCAAATAAGATCGACAAGGGAAGGGGAAAAACAAGAAATCACCCTAAAAAACACCAAATGCCTGAGTACAAGCAGGAGCTGCGGAGGAGCCGCCGGCGCTTCCCCGAGTCCCATCTTTCCTTTAAGTTGGAGTGATTCGGGATGCACTTGCGGCCGCTGCAGAAAGATTTTACACACACGCACATCCCCCCTGCTCCCCCCCCCCCCCCCCAAAAAAAAAAAGATGCTAAAACTTTGCTTTCTCCAACAGAAAAAAAAAGAGAGGAAGAGAAACAGGGAGAAAGAAACTAAAGAGCAACACCTATGGAGCGAGGAGCTCCTGGACGCTGCGGAGGGTGAGTGTTCCCTGCCGAGGGGGCTGCAGGCAGCACCCCTCAACCTCCCCGGCCGATAGAATCTGCCTGGATTAACCCGGTTCCCCAAGGCTGAGAGCCCATCCCGGCTCTGCAGACCCTGCTGGGAGCCAGGCCCTCTGCAAACAGCACCGAGGCGAAAAAAAACCACCAAAACCCCCCAAAATCAGCAAAAAGGAAAAAGGGGGGGAAGGGACAAAAATCCCCCTTGTACCCCGAGAAATAAAATCCTTTCCCCCCATCCCGACCTCCACCTAAATTTCCCCCCACTCAAAGGAAGCTGCAGCCGGGCGATGGAGAACCGGCTCCTGCGGGCCCGAGCCCCGAACCGCCACCAGCCCCCGCCTATAGATACACATACAGAAGTATAGGTGTGCGTGCAACGCCTGGACACGCGGTCTGCAAACGCACACACGACACCTTGTCCTTGCTCCAGTGCTGTAATGCATTTTATACCTTCGGATTGAACGTGCAACATGAACGGCTGAATGCAGAGCTGTATAGATACTTGTCTATATACGTGTCTGTGAGTATATATACAGACACGCACACCACAAAATCATATGTGCGTGCATCAGCTTTAATGCAGCCTTTTGCACACTCGCACAACGGCACAAGTGCAAAGCTAGCCGTGCCCCTGCCCTTACACACGCATACATGTAAGTATTTACCTTTCTCCTATGTTTTGCACGGTTTTGGGTGTGCACAAACATCATTCCCTCTGTCCCCACCCTCCGAGCAGCTCAGTGCAAATCTGTGCACGGGCTAAACGCGGGGGAATGTAAATGTGTGCACATCGCCTATGTTCCCTACTCCATATATATATATATATATATTTACGAATAAAGTAGATATAAATATCTATATAAAAGCTCCCGCACGCACAGAAACACCGGAGCGTCCATCAGCAGCCACAGATCCAACCCCCCGCACTCACCTTCCTGGATGTGGGGGTGCGTGCTTGGGTGGGAGGCCCCCGAACCTTTTGCATATACACACACACACGCTCGATCTCCCTTGCTCAGCTCCCCGCCGCATTCAGAAGCGCAGGATCAGGCCCAGGCCCCGCCGCCCGTCCCCGGGGCCTCAGGCCGCGGGGAGCCCCCGCTTTTTGAGTCCGCATGGCCGAACCCCTCTGCCCTTTTGCTACCTTCGGAGGATGTCCCTCGCCCTGGAGGTTTCTCCTATCGGCTATTCCCCAGGAGAGGTGGAGGGACAGGAAGGGGGGGGGGGTGGCCGGGGTGCTGGCTTGCAGTGGGGTCGAGGTGTCAGCAGTAAGAAATAGTGCCGAGCATGAACTCACCCCCCACCTTCCCCCAACACACACCCCCGCTTTAAAATCACTTCTTGGGGCGGCTTAACCAACTCGGAAAGGCTTTTGCTATCCACCCGTAGCCTGCGGCTCCTCGGCAGCAGCCCGGGGACCCGGGCACGCTGCCCCGGCCGGTACAACAGCGGTTCTTAGGCCTCCGGCAGCTTCTGCTTGCTCGTTCCCTCTTCTTCCCCGTCTCACCCCGAGATTCCACGTCAGGAATTACCCCCCACACACCCCTTTTCCATTTTTAAGCAATTTACTTCCACTTTTTGACCATTTCTCCTTTTATTCCTATCGCCCTTTTGTTGGCCGCGTACCCGCTGTGGCGAAATACACACCTGGAGAAAACAAGCATTTAAAACAATCATCCTCTTTGGGAGCGTTTTGCTCCGTTCACTTTGTGGCTTTTTGGTTGGTTTGGAGGGTTTAGGGTTTTTTCCCTCTACTTTAGGGGCAGCGCTTGCATTGGTCTCTTTGTAGCCCCGAAACAGCTCTCCCAGTGTCTATATTTCCATGACAAAACCCTGCGTTTAGCTGTCTAGAACTCGCTCAGACGAGCCTTGGGCGGTAGATACCTAGGGTCGAGCCTTTTGCTTTAACTTGGGGTTTTTGTAACTACAGGTGAACACCAGTTTTCTTTCCATGTTTGTGGTTTCGGGTCCCCTTTTTCCCGCCCTTCTGGCTACTTAAGGACAAGAAAAAAACCGGAAAGAACTTTGTAATTAAGAACCGTTCCCCCCTCCCCTCAGCCCATTCATTTCCCAGGCAAACTCCTGGCTTTAAAACGGTGACCAAAAGGTGCAGCATAAACAGCCGGGCAGAGGCAAGGGCTGTAGAATCGCACAACGCTGCCCTTCGGAGCCTCCCACTCTTGGGATGCAGGTCCCTTTTTCTCCCAAATAACAAGCGAGAAAAGGGTGAGAAGGTCCCAAAATCAAGCTACGGCCATCCCTGGGGCAAAAGGGATCTATATTCTCTCCCCAGTTTGCTTCCAAAAAGCATCTCTCCCAGAACTAACCACAGCCCTGGGGAGCCGGGGCTCGGCCCCCCATCCAACTTTTCCCGTGGCCACAGTGCTGTTCGGACAAGGAGGAATTAGGCTGCACTTCTCTTTCCCACCCCTTTCAGAGAGCCAGGCCGGGTGACATTTTGGCATGGGGTGCCCATCGGGTTCCCCTCCCCGCCCCTATCAATGACGGATGCGCCGATGGAGCGGGGCGCGTTATCGATGCCGGAATGGAAAGGCTAATCTGCTCTTGCCAAACAGGGTGTCAATCAGGGCGTTATCTCGGCCCAAAGGAGAAAATAAAGGCAGATAAGGCCTCCACTCTCGCCCTGGGAAGAAAGCTAATGGGGGCAAAAGGGGGAAAGTCTTCAGCTCCCTGTGCCTTTCCCTGAAAGTGATCTTGCAATGACCTTGAAGGGGGGGCGGGGAGAAGAGTCCGGACCGAAGGGGTTTGAATCAGTGCCTGAATAAAGGCCGCACAAGCGACACCTGTAATTATTCCTTCCTCTCCTCCTTTTCCTCCCGGAGCAGAACCAGGACCGGCCCCCGCTGTGCTCTACCGGAGCGACCAGCTCAGGCACCCACACACAGACCTCACTTCAAAACCTTCCTTCCCAATTCGTTTTTATTTCTCTATTTCCTTCAATTTTCCCTTCTTTATACTTCCTATTTCTCCTTCCTTTTTACTTTTGGTTCTCCTCTTTTTTGTCGCTTTCTATCCCCTGCCCTAAATTAACGCAGAGCGAAAGCGCAGCCGAGCCCGGCCGATCCGTTATGACCACGTTATCCTTTGTATTACCAGGATACCCACAAATTTCGGGAGTTGAAGAGGGTTCCAGGAAGGCCCAGGGCGAGGCAGGAGGAACCGCGCTACCCCGCGGTATCCTAAACCCCATCTTTTATCCACGTAAGGAAAATAGAGATTCTGTAAAATCACCCAAACAGCGTCTGAGGAACTCCTTTTGTTCTCTTCAGGAGCTGAATGCAGAAAATAAATATATATCCAAAGGAGAAAGAGAAAAGGGGGGAGAAAAGAGCATTTAACCCCTTACATGGGGTGCCAGGCCACAAGCTGTAAATCCGGTCCAGCTGCGCGGCCGCGGATAGTTCCGCGGCAACCAAAGCAGAGGGCACAGCCCCACGGGTGTGCGGGGCAGCACCAGCGCTATTTGCAAAGAGCGTTTCCCAGCCTTATCCCGCCGATCGGGATTCCAATCCCGAGGATTGCAGGTAGCTTTCCCTCACTGTTTTTCCACGCAGAGGTGGAGAAAGGAGCTGGGGGTTTGGGTGCCAAGAGATGCTGGTGTTGGCAGTCGGTTTGGTGAACCCGATTTTTATAAGCCCTTGTGCTATAAATCGCCGCAGATTTATACCTGTTCCACGCATATCAAGCGTCCGTGTTGCATACCTGCTCGTCCGTTTGGTCTAGTGGTTTGGGGCACAAAAAACGCTGCTTTCACGAGTTGGAAGAAAATATTAGGAGCGCATTTGGTATCTGTTTTGAGGGGTTTGGGGGAAGAGATGTACGGGCGTCTTTCCCTGCACTAGTGTATGTCTGCACGGGGGTTGGGGGTCGAGCACATTTTGGGTACTATATGCTTATTCGTCCATTTCCAACGAATAATTCTGGGATTTAGGGAATTAACGCCCAAATCTCCGAGCAAAACTATCCCTCGGTGCAGCCCGGGCGGTACCTGTGAGGCCGAGCCCTGGTCCATCCCCCCTTGGCCGGGGACAGCAGCCACCAAGTTCCCCGCTCCGGGGACCGGAGCAGCCCCCGTTCAAGACAATGCCTATTTTCTGTCATTAATAACTCGTTTCTCTCTCTCTCTCTCTCTGAAAAAAAATCGCTTTTGGATCCAAGATTGGTTTTTATGATTCAGTTGGACAAGACGGAACACATGTTAGTTTAAGCAGGTTCATGAAATAGCTGTAAATCAAATAAAGTTTACGAGTTTAGCAGGAAATACTGAAAAGATGAAGAAAAAAAAACCACCCCCGTCCGCCGAGGCAGAGACCAGCAGGGCTAAAACAGTTGGTGGAGTTTTGTCCTGCTCTGTGTTTCTCTCTGTTCTCTTGTGCATCTTGCCGATTAAAGGCCTTGAGACCCCGTGTTGGCGCCAAGTGGCATGTTATTAATCAGTTATCCCGAGGTTCAGTCCACATAAGAGAGAAATTTAATCACCAGAAACCAGACCCGACATAAAAGAGAAATCTAAAATCAATTCCCGCCCGTCGCTCCCCCCTCCCTCCCCTTCCCCACCTCCGAAGCGAGCAGAACGAGCAGAAGCAATCAAGATCTCGCTCCTTCTCCCTCTTAATTGCAACGGGAGAACTGCAGATTTAGCCGGGGTTTATCTCGAAGAGCAACTGGGGAAAAAAAACCCAAATAACATTATAAAAGCAATCTAAAAACACCCCAAACAAGGTCCCGCCATCACAACGCAACAACTTTGTCCTTGATCTAGCTATAAAAACGTGATGGGGGAGAAATATCCCAGGCGGAGCCTTTTATAATGGAAAGTGTGTGCGTGTGTAGGGGAGAGGAATGGCATTTATCGCTGTTAAAATGATCTTTGAAGGTTCCCAGGGTAAGGACCCGTTGAGGGGTCCCTCCACCCCAGATGCCGGTCCCAGCTTTTGCCTCCTTCCCCCAGCCCAGGCTTCACTCGAGGACGAGAATCCTGGGGGATGTCTCTCCCGAAATCTGTGCGTGTCCCCCCCCACCATGGGAGCTGAGCGCTTCCCGACCCACCAGCAGTACCCCCGCCTTCTGCCAAGGGGTTTTGGGTGGGAATGGCCAGGTTCGAGTTAGGCCATATGGGTTGGAGGAGCCCTTGACCCTTCTCTCTGCCTCCAGGACAGGGCCGCGGAGCAGGTCCCCTCCTCCTGGAATGGACCGGAGGGGACAGCAGGGGAGAATGGACCAAAACATCCCAGTCCCTCCCCTAAAAAGCCTGCTTGAAACGCGGGGAAAGCGGAGGGGCTCGGCCGCGCAGCTTCCACTCGTGTTTTCCATGGGACCCCCCACGGGTTTCCTCCCGGCTGCCGGGCACTGCTTATGGAGGGGGGGGATCTCAGTTGTCCCTCATCTGCGGCTCGGAGCCCTGAAGGGCACACGGGGGAGGCAGGAGGCAGGCGGCCGCCCCGGGGCTATATTTGGAAAAGAATTTGGAAGCCCTTCCAAATCCAGCAGATCTGTGCGAAAGGTACCGGCCCGAAGGGACGGGCAGCCCCGGGGGGTGCCTCTTCCCCGGCCCCTCTTTCCTCCCTGGGCCACCCCATGTTTCGGGGCCGCCCCGCCGAGTCTTTATTCCTGGACAGAGAAAGGGCGCAAGAAAACACCTTTGCCTGCGCCAGCAGAAACAACCTCATCCCGCTCTCTCCCCATCCATGATAGCCGGGGTTTAGCAATAGTGCCCACCCTCAATGGGTTAAAGGCTCCTGAAGAGGCTCTAACTTTGTGCCAGACAGATTTGCCTGGTTTGCCTTAAAAAACACATAGCCCGGGGGTGTCCTTTGGGCCTGGGAGACGAAGGAGAGCCGCTGCCCCGTAGCCTCCTCCCACCTGAGCAAACCTGCTTGGGATGTTTTAACGAAAACCGTATTTCTTTCCGCCGCGTTTTTCTCTCCACCAACACCCTCTCAAAACCCCAGAAAGCACTGATTTGATTTGGGTTGCCTGATGGGCTCCTTTTCCCTCCTGATCGTTTTCCTACAGCCCAAACAGACTGGAAACCACAGAGAAAATAATCAAAGTGGAGCATGTTTTCCCACAGTAGGAATGCATGTTAGCACTCTCTCCACGTCTCGATCCTCTGTTGGCGTGTGGGTATCCATGCGGAGATGCCTCCAGAGGCAGATGCACAGATGCAAGAAGGCTTTTGGGTGTCCGCAAACCACCCGGCCCTATGGACGTGGGCAGCCCACAGCCTCGGGGTGAGGATGCCTGCCTGGAGCTGAGCTTTTCGATGTAAACGCTGGGAGATACGTGCACGAATGGGCAGAGAACCAATTTGTACCCGCTCACATCGGTGTTTTCGGCTGCAGCCCCTGGGGTAATGCTAGTAAACTTATGGCTACAGTACCCACCAGTGCTGCTTCCCCACTCAGCCCTAATAACCCAGCGGCTTCTCCATCG